AGCATTGCTTGGGAGAAAGCATAAGACAGTTGGCCAGACTGTGTCTGAAGGAGAGCGACAACATCTTCCAAATGGTTGACAACTAGACAATCTGTGGAAGATGATCACATATGTGCTCTTGAAAATCTGGCAGAGCTGGGGGATGTGTTGGAATTCACAAACTAGATGAATTGAATCGTGCGACTGCTTTCGAATGCCTGTAAATAAGATAAGATGTTTTTGTTGTTTTTGGCTTGACTTTCTTGTGATGTACTTGCATCCGATGCGACCGTGACTGAAAACATGATGATCAAAAGCATTTATTTGACTGCGTCGATCGACGAAAACGACCCGTTAAACAGAGGTGCATGCGTTGACAGAACCAGAGCGAAGTAGTTAGTAAATGCACATGCGTTACCAGCCGGAGGCTATTCGAGTTCTTGTTCCAATAGCAGTGAGCTTGATGCATAGTCCTCAGCCAGAATCGAAGTCATTTTCGAGACGACAAGCGCCAACACTTTTTTTGAGCATGGAATCATAGAGAACATGTATATGCGCACAGTAACATAGCCTAAGCAACAGTCATGACGACACCTAACTCTTTCCGCCGAGAGTACCACTACTGCACATGGGATTTTCGAACGGGAGGCATTTAGGGAGCGAAGAGGGTGCTGATGAAAGCATCGCCGGCAGCGGTGGCGGGCTTGCTCTTCTTCGGCGGGGCCTTTTTGCGACGCTCCTGCTTGACTGTAGAAAAGAAAACGGTGAGTTGAATTGTGTCGCAAGCAGGTCTCGCAATTGTACGCACGCAGCTCCTGCCTGCGGAGGGTCTTCGCGTACGGGTTGAGACGGAAGAGAACGAGCTTGTTGGTGAGCGGGTTCTTGTGCTGCGTCCAGGGGCGCTTGTGGATCTTCGGTCCCGCGGGGCGGACGACAGCCTGGATCTCCGAGCTGTTGATGAGGCGGGTGACGTCGGGGTTCGTGATCTTGGCGGTCGGGAGGAAGTAGTCCTTCTTCTGGACGGCGGCGGTGTCGAACGTGCCGAAGACCTCATCGAGGCGGGCGAACGCGCTCTCGGTCCAGATGACGAAGCGGCCGAGGTGGCCGCCCGGCGCGAGCTGGAGGAGGTTGAGCCGGGTGACGTTGACGAGTTCAACGCCGGGGAGGTTGCGGAACGCCTTGACGATGCCGTTGTCCTCGGAGTAGACGACGAGCGGGCCGCGGCGCTGGCGGTGGCGGCGATTGCGCAGCTTGCCCTTGCCCGCGCGGAGCTTGCGGGACGAGGAGACCTTCTGCACGTCGGCGTACGCGCCGAGCGCGGTGAGGAGCGCGACGGCCTCCTTCGTCTTGGTGAGCGACTCGGCGGCAGCGGCGACGACGAGGGGCACCTCCTCGACCTGCTCGATGCGGTGGCCGCGCGCGAGGACGAGCGCGGGGAGCGCGGAGGCGGCGAGCGCGGAGACGACGGCAAAGCGGCGCTGGTTCTGGTTGACCTTGACGTGCCAGCGGCGCCAGACCTTGGTCGGCGCGAACATGCGCCCGCCGCGGCACATGTTGCCGAAGGCGGCCTGGCCGGAGCGGTGCGTGCCCGAGCCGCCGACGCGCGGGATACGCGCGACGGCGCGGCCCGTGCCCCAGGACTCGGCGCTGGTCTGGTGGCCGGCCTTCTCGCTCACTGCGTACGGTTGGCGCTTGTTCTTCGCGATGCTCTCTGGAGTGAACGTCAGGAGTCGGCTCTTTCGATTGAAAGGGTCTTTGTGTAGAAAACGTACTGTGCACCTGCTGGACGACGTCGAGACGGATGGGCGCCGTCAGGACAGCCGGGAGAGGAAGAGACGTCGACGCCTCTGAAAACGTCGGGATATCATTAGAATAACTGACCGCAATAAAACGAATTTAAAAAAGAACAGCGGAGCTCACCTCCAGAGGCGGAGCGAACGTTGACGGTCGGGCGGGAGGCCATTTTTGACGACACGGGTAGGCTTGAGGATGTCGAGTGCAAACGACGAGTGGCAATTCTTTCTGTGTACTTTCTCGATGCGGCACGTGCCGAGAACTATACAGTACTACAGTGTCAGAATATGGTAACTCGGCAAGCTCGGCAAGCTCCATGGAACTTTTGACTCTCGCTGTATACGTCGAAATGTCTTCAGTCTTATCATCTTTGGCTGTCTCTGTCGTTTTGGCGGTACTGAGATGTGTCGGTAGAAGTTTCTGAAAAATAAACTTGCCATGAAGGAGACAATGAGAGTGATAACTGGTTTCTCTCCTTCTTTTTATCCGATTTTGTAACGATTATTACCAAAGTGGGAAAGTCTCCTAATTTGCATCTCTGCCTTATGTACTTCTTTACCGAATTTCAAACCTCAGTTCGAAATTCGCAAAATATCGGATTGATTGCGCAGAGCTACCGCCTTTTAACTGCTCTCACTGTAATATCAATATCGAGGCCTGGGCCCTGGGTGAACGATTTCCCTGCAGGAACCCAGAAGCGCCAAAAGTAAAAATAAAAAAATCTGTTGTGTGACAATAATAAATTGCAGGAAGCGCCGAAGCGTATGTAATCGGCAAAAGGGCGCTACCATGCAAATCATCGAAGTGACCTTTGCAGAATACATTGTACATGTATATTCGCATTTCTGCTTGGACCGGAGAGACGTGTCTTGAAAAAATGCTCGCTCACTGACATATCTGCCTTTTGGACAGGAATCAAACGGCTGTTGTTGGAAAAGCCAAGAGTTCTGCTTAGCGGACGGGGAACTAGTGGAACTGTTCTACCTGGAAAGCGAGCGAGCAAGCGCACAAGCGACCGCCAGCTCGCGGTCTGGCTGGCTGCTCAGCCACCGTACGTACAAATGCCCGTACAAATACATGCCTGGCGGTCCCAACCAGCCTCATCCTCTTTTGGCCCCCGTCCTCTTCCTCCTTTCCTCTTTCCTTGTCACCGCCCCGCAACGCTCAGCTCCATTTGCTCGCCTCCCAGTCGCTCGTTACAACTACCTACTACCCTTTAATCCCTTGAAACTTCAGAAATGCCTCGCTTCATTCGTTCTTCGCTCGCTGTCACCGTCGCCACCGCTGCGACCGTCCTTGCCCAAGGTGTCAGCACCTTCCCCGCCACCCCGCTCGCCAGCAAGCACTACTCTTACCCCACGGGAGTTGTACGTCTTCTATACCAATTTTATAGTTTTATTTATCTCATGCTTTCCGATTTTCTACAGCCTTACCAGGCCGATACCGACAACCTCCTCCGCGGCACCCAGTTCGGTTACAACCAGTGCAACTCCACCACCGAGAACCAGGACTCCTCTTTGCCAGACCTCGTTCCTGAACCACCTCGATGGTCTGTTTCTTATTTAGAAAAATTGACGCGATTGCTCGACGTGGCATCTAATGTCGCGTGTTCGTATTTTCAGACTTCTGTCTTTGGGCACCCTCCAAGCCTGACTCCATGATCGCCGACACCGAAGGCGAGGAGGTCGCCTGGTGCACGAAGCCTGGTCGTGGCACGCGTGTCATTCCACCCGGTGCGCTCCAGGGTGTCCAGTACATGAGAACGCCCGACTACGTCCAGGTTGTCGGCTTCATCGACCAGACCAAGATTAACATGAAGGCCGATGACTACGGAGGAGAGCTCGACCCGCACGGTGCTGACCTTGTGCGTGCTATGTGATACTTACGATTTCTGTGTTTGGTCTGATGCAATATCTTGACAGCGCGGCAACCCGCTCGGTGGCCTCGTTTACACCAACGCGTTCAACGCCAGCAACGGTGACAACAACACCTGGTCGCAGGCAATTGAGTGGCACAAGTGAGTTTCTTCGTGTTCTATTCGCTGCCGCGTTCCCATTTCTAACGTTACTATTCCAGCTTCATGGGCGGCGGTGCGTTCTGCTTCAAGGTGTGCGACGGCCCGAACGCGGCGGACTTCTGCCAGCACATCTACGACCGCATCGGCTGCGCGTACAACGCGCCGAACGCCGCGCAGAACGGCACCTTCGAGATGTGCCTCGGCGACAACCAGGACTACCCGGGCGTGTACACCAGCAACGGGCAGGTCATGACCTACACGCAGCCCGCTGAGTCCCTCGGCGCCATCACCACGATGCCGTACCAGCCGAAGGTCCCCGCGTCCTCCAGCTGCACGACCTTCTCGTCTGCCGAGCTCTACGCCGCTGCCGCGACCGCGTTCCCGTCGTCGGGCTCCGCGTCCGGCTCCGCCGCGAAGAACACGGGCGGCGCGGGCACAACCGCAACGCGCTCGGGCGTCGCCACCGATGCGTCCACTACGGCAAACAGCGGTGCGCGTGTCGCGCGCTCGATGGTATCTGAGAACGGCGCAGGTGCGGGTGCGGTGATCGGCCTCATGGGCATGCTCTTCGCAGGTGTTATCCTCGCGTAAATCCACTCAGGGGTTTTCCTGTTGTGAATTGATGAAACCGATACGTTACGCGACCCCACTTTCCCGTCTCCCTTATATCATACACCTCACGGACTTTGCATGAGCATCGAGCCAAATCGAAGTAGACTCCCCCCTACGTACCCTATTGTTCTCCCCCCATCCCATCCCTTTCGCTTAGGTATTCTCTTTTACATTGGGCTTCTAATGAGTTTAGTCCTTTTTCTCTGGATTATAATGTTTGAGTTTTCGTGTGTCGCATGTGATTCTGGAATGTGAAATGTCTTGAAGACTGTCAATCAACTGGCCTCTTCATTCGGTTATTGATGCCAGGAACGCCGGCAGGATAGTAGATTGCTAACTCGTGCGAGACTCGGGTTGTCCACTTGGTCACTGCCAAGGATGGCGACGGACAAGCGTGCCTCTGGTGATTTATTCTGTCCACGCGGGATCGTGAGTCCATTGATCTGCAGACGATCTACATTGATGATCGGCGTCGCCTTTGTTTTTCCGTTTTTGCTTCCGAGCTCTCCGTCAATTCATTTCGGCAGCAGATATTCAGATGGTTGCACTGCATCATGTCCAAAGCACTCAGGTAATCAAAGTCAAAAGAGACTTGAAGGGCAAGATGACCGAGCGGTCTAAGGTGTGTGACTCAAGCGTAAGGCTTGCCCCGAACGGGGTTTCTCATCAGCATTAGCTGGCGTGGGTTCAAATCCCACTCTTGTCATTTTTATACATATTGGTAGTCTCACTTCGTTGGACACTTTAATTGTAATATTTTGCATTTAAATTTTGAAGAACATGGTCAGAAAAGTCTTTGCCCACATTCTCCTTAGAGAGGAAGGCAGTCCCCGCCTGCGTAGCACAGGAACCGGCGGTTACTTAGTCACGTTACATGTGCGCTACGGACTATCGCAAGTCATTTGGTCCAGAGAAACAAGGGTCTCTCGTGCCTCCGAACTCCTTCCTTATTGAAATGCGATCTCAACCTCGAGACTTACCGCTTTTCGGTACTCCATTTCACGTCAGTCTTGAGACCCAAGCGACATCGAATAAGTATCCTTTACAATTTTATTCATTCCGACGACAACCTATAGTTAACTTACATTGCTTATCGGTAACCGTATTTTCCTTTGTTAATACTACACGGTCTCTTGCGGGCGAGCGACAAGCTTCATACCGCTAACCTTGTTTTCCTTCAGGCGCTCAAGACCGTCAGGGATGCCGGCGAGTCCGTTCGGTAAGACCTCGACACGGTTGGGCTATTTAAATCAGTGGCCGGTCGGGAAGCCGAACTTATCGAAGAAAATACCTACCTGGATGGACCCATCCCCCAGCAGTTGCGTCAGCTTGCTATACAGGCTCACTCCGATCTTCCGAGCGCACGGAAGATGCACGTTTCCAGCCACGCCGTCGACCAGGGTCTTGTCCGGGTACTTCGCTTTGTCTACCTTCACTTTTTCTATCTTCCCGTCTAAGACAAGCACGAGCGCACCGCCCGGCGCTAGAAGGTCCCACCCCTGCGTCTGCGTGCTCGGTTCGGAGACTGCGTCGTACACGAGATCGACGGGCGTCCCAGCAAGCGCCGCGGTGACGGCCTTGGCACCGCCGTTGCGATCGACTACGTGCGTGGCGCCGAGCGACTGAAGATGTGCCGTGTTGTGAAGAGAGGCGGTGGCGATAATAGGTGAGAAGCCCGAAAGCTTGGCCAGCTGGATGACTGTCGGGAACGAACGTACACGGGGTAAGCGGGGAGAATTCAAGCTACTCGTTTTTACTTACCATACTGGCCGACAGAGGTAGACCCACCGAGGACGACGATGGGCTTTCCGCTGTATAAACCCTTTCCGCCAGTTTCCCACGGCGGTGTCAGTTTATCGAGTCCCTTCTGCGCTCGGGCTTCATATAATCCTATTGCCGCGGTCGCGAGACCGAGCGGGACAGACGCGGCTTGGTCAAAGGAAATCTCGGAAGGGAGCTGATAAAGCGAGATCTTAGCAAGTGTTCAAGAATAATCCTGGGCATAGAATAGAGAGATGCGGACTTTCGCGGTTATCTCCGCAGGGACGATAGCGTATTGCTGGAACGTGGCTTTGTCGTTATTGAAGAATCCTTGGTGAACTCTGAAGAGAACTTCAATCAGGATAATTATAAGCAAAAGAAAAACTAACACTCTATCTCCCTTCGCAAACCCCTTTACTTCCTCGCCGACCTCCTCCACAGTGCCCGAAGAATCAGATCCAAGGACTGCTGGGTACTCCATGACGAACAGATTGTACAAGTACCCGCGTATCTTCCAATCGACTGGGTTCAGAGCTGTCGAGTTGATTTTAACCACAAGCTCGCCGGCGCCAGCCTTAGGGATGGCCCTATGACCAACGACCCACTCGCCGTTTCCTGGCGTCTGCAGAAAAAGCGCCTTTTGTTGTACCATTGGGGTGCGCAGAATAGAATGTTAGATGCAAGAGAACGCAAACGGTTGAGCGGGAGATAGATTTCAGGTTATATGGCTTGTAGCTTTACTGTAAATACAGTGCGCGAAGAAGCTTCTGGCATGAGCTGTGAATACATTCACGCCTAATTGCGCATGAATGGCGCCCTCTGGCTGACATATTCCGTTCCTGAGGCATATGTCAGCTCGAGTTTGAAATAAATAAAAAGCCTGCCAGCGAGTCTGATCACGAGTTGGTTGCCAGTGAAATGTCCTTGAGCTCTGAAATTCGTCCAGCCGAATCTTGCGTGGTGAAAACGTCCAGGTTAGGTACACAACCAAGGTGCTCATGTTGGCTCGATGTTCCGAACCATGTCAAAGACCTGTCTATTTTTGCAAACAAGAGTGAAGATTGAGTCTACGTTTGTCAGCGACTTATCAACGTTTGTCAACTCGGTTGTCTCATCTTATTTATGCCTTACTGATGCGACTTTTCACATGCTTCCCAGCGATTGTATCTGTACTTACAAGTAAAAGAAGACTCCTCTTTGTAGCGACTTTGCTTGGACTGGACGGCACGATCTGGGTCCCTTTTACGCCCTTGATATGATCCTCGATTTGTTTCACCAACTCGGGTTTAACTCTGCTTCGCTCTAAGAGGGATTTAGTCCTAAACTTGGGGTCGATCCGAGTCTATCCGTTTCGACGGTCTGCAACCTTGGGATCAATGCGCCCCAAACCTGTATTGGATAGGACTTACAAATATTTTGAGACGCGCCAGATGTGCCTATTGGTATGCTACGCGATCCGTAACTGGCACTATTTGCTCCTCGTGTTTTGGTGCCCGTGAGTGACTTGTAGTAACGGGCCACATCGCTCCCAGGGAGCCATAGTGATCCAGCTGGTCGAGGAGGCTAATAAATTTTCAAAATAATATTTGATAGTCTCAGGGATCAGAAATACAGACAAGTTTCGGACTGTGATCGTGAGAAAAGATTGGTCATGAACGCGTCGGAACGCGTCGCGTTCAAGGTTCCAAGCGAACCACCGCGTTCAACACGATTCGACAATCGTGGCTAACATGCTGAAGCATCTCGGTTTCTCGTGCTGGGTCTCCTGTCAGGGAAAAGAACTTCCAGCGTATGGAGAAGAGTGCAGGGAGAACGTGAAAAGCGCGTGGATTCCGAGCGAAGCAGGCGAGGTACGCATGCGCGTCTTGGCGATTTCCCTAGGTTTGCTAGCTGATAAATTTTGCTTCAAGAATTTCTCAGTGTTCTGGCAAGACAGGAGCGGGAAGCGCATCGCGACCTCAGGCCATGTGTTCGTCGATGGAAAAGATGTCGCGTCTGCGATCATCAGGCCGGGTCGTGAGACACCTGTTGAACGTGCCGGTGCCAAGAAAAATGCCCGGAAAATCTTGCCTTTCACATTTTCCGAGCTTTCGCTAACGGGTGCGCGCTGTATTTATCTTGGTCAAATACTCAACTCACCAGTACTTCGCTTGCGACTAAAGACGACGACACTCTAGCAGATCGCTTTGACCCTACCATACGAGACGTCGGCGTCATCAAGGTTGAGATAAAGCGTGTCAGACTGGGTGACACGGTCCGCTTCACCGGATACGATGCTGAAAATCTCGGGTTTGTACACGAGCGAGCAAAGAAGGCTGGTGCGCATTGTACAAAGTACGGGATTTTATTTTCTGTGAATATTTGTTAAATTATTAACTGATAAGTCCTTCAGATTTGGTACTGAGGAACGGTCGAAAAATCCTCGTACAGTGGCGATTTCCACAGCGCCATATGACCCCAACGAGCCTGGAGCTTATGTGACTTTTGAATTCCGGTATAGAAGCCAAGGTACGTGCAGAGGATATCAAAAATACAGTACGCTCAAGACTGTCTTGTTTTTCATTCATAATAGCTATGCTGAAGGCGACTGGCATCATCGAAAATGGTCGTAAACGGCCAAACGAAAGTAGCGACGATGTCATTGAAATCGAATCATCCGATGATGAGGTACGCATATTTTGATTCACCCTTTTCTCGACACAGCGCCCTGATCTACGGAACAATAGAGCCTGACTACTCCCTCGCGCACAAGATCGTACTCAAGAGAGCTACTTAGAACACCGAAGAAGAAAGTCAAGAGGGAGCCGCAGCCGGATGGTGTTTCTCCAGTACACGAAGACACTCAGGACGATGAGCATCGTGACCCATCCTTTCATGGAACGGAAGCTTTGATGGCCTCGTCAACCGCTGCATCTACGCTAAATGGCAGTTCTGACAGTTCTCAGAAACCGATGTCCGACTTTGAAGCTGCCCAAGCAAAATCGCCCGCGATGGGTAAGAACGAAAACGAGGACGAGGATGAAGGCGAGGAACTTGATATGCTCGTCGATGACGGCGAGGGAAACAATTCATCGAAAAATGGGAACTCGCTTGATGTGCCTCCATCATCGTCTCCCGGACCACAATTGCATCCTCTGGAAGACGAGGACGAGGACGATTCATGAGAGGCGATTTCTACATGGAAACAGCTGACTTGATTCTTTTTTTGTTTCTTCCATTTTACAATCTTCTTACTTTCCTTCCTCATTATCTGGACCCAGAATATGGTAACTATAACAGTGTAACGAGAAAATGGAGGATTTATAAAAGTATTTGAAAGCAAGTTAAGCGAGCAATTTCTTCGAAAGAGCAATACTGAAAGCTAACCACGGCGTACACAGGTTGCATGTTTCACTGTTGTTTTGAATAGTTACGGGTCGTGAATTTACCTTCTTTGCTGAGCCGTTCCGCCGCCGCCGCATGCAATGAAATGATCGATGCCCGGAGACTGAAAGCGCAGGATTAAAAGAGTTCCCGAATGCGTCAGGGACAAACAAGTCTTCAAAAGAGCAAGCGAATAGCAAGTACCTCGTCTGCTCATGATAGTACTCCAGCAACTCGTAGTAGCGCTCGATGCGCTGCCGTTTATGACTAAGCGCAAGAAAGGTGCAGATCGTCGTTACCGCTGCAGGCATAAAATTCAGGCGGAGAAGATGATAGACGGTAAAGAATAGGCAGAGCCCACCTCCGAGAACAGAAAGCGTAGTGAACGCGTAGTGCCACGGCTTCACTTTCGTCGGCAAACCCGGAGGCCTTCCGCACACATTTGCGCTGTTACAATTTTGCTATACGAGGCAGTAAATATTTGAATCATAATCGGACAAAACGGGCATTATTTTAAGAGAGCGGGCGTTCGAAACTTACTGATATGCATTCCCTGTCGTCATCGCAGGGCGCATTGAGATC